AATTGTGGATACTGGATCAACCCTTGGAATTGGCGTAAATACTGGTACTGGTTCATTATCGGGTACTGGATCCACCACTGGTAGTGGCGCGACGATTGGTACAATAGGTATTCCGCATGAGATTGCTAGGATGAATAAACAGTACTAACCACGATGTCAGGTTCAGGTTTAACTGTTGGTACTGGTTCGACCACTGGCACTGGAACAATTACTGGGACCGGCTCAGACACTGGTACTGGATCCACAACCGGTGCAGGCTCATCTATCGGTAACTCGAACACCGGAAGTAGTAGCAATACCGACAGTGGATCGTCCAGCGGGGGTAGCAGTGGTATTGGGTCCAATAGCGGAGTCACTGTCACTACAACCATTACCGGCGGAAGCATGAGCGTTGGTGGAACTTTGAACGCTAATACTGGTTCAACCAGTGGAACGGGCTCCATCACTGCCAGTGGTACGAAGACTGGCATAACAGGTACTTCGAATGCGACTACTAGACTGGATATAAGTACTAACACGACGGCACACGACGGCAGGTACAGATTCAACCGTCGGTACTGGCTCCACAACTAGCAGCAGTGCGAATACTGGTACTTCAAATACGACTATGAGGCTGCTGGAAAGTACTAACACGTCGTCAACAGGTTCGACTGTCGGTACTGGCTCAACTACCGGGACCAGCTCAAACACTGGAAGTGGATCTACAACTGGTACAGGCGTAAACACGGGTAACGGATCAACTATCGGCACTGGCTTGAACGCCGGCAGTGGAAGTAATAGCGGTAGCGGAACCAAGAGTGGTTCTGGAAGTAGCAACAGCGGTGGTGGAACTACTAACAATGGGAGCACCTCTAGCCCGGGAGTAACTGTTACTGTACCTGTCACCGGTGGGGGCACCAAGATTGGTGTGTAAAAACGTGTTCTATCCTTGCAGATCCGTGTAACTTGCCTTTATCATCCTGATCATGCTTCAATAAAGTTTGTTCATCGTCTATGATCATCGTTTTCCCCTGCTTCGTCCTCGAAGTCACTTCATCCTCAGGCCCAAGGAGCGTTGCAGAATTCAAGTATGCAAATTGATAGATTCGGGACCCTTGACAGCCTATCTACGTTCGACCTCTTTTCCGTTTCGCTAATATGAAATGGAACTGGCCCTAAGGCCTTGCATCTAAATAACAAGAGATGTGACAAGATTCAACGATGCCAACTCGGAAGCAAGCCGTCGCGATCGTGTGCTTTTAGCACGCTCCAAGCCTGCTCCCGAACACCGAAAAAAATCACCTAATCGCGCCCAAAAAAAAGCAAACATCGATTAAGCCGTACTAATCGCAATTCAAACCAACAATTGTCTGTTCAACTCAAATCCCCCCCGAGCACTTGAGTATACTCTCAAGTCCATTGATATTCATTCCTCAACAAACCGAAACTCCCTCCTTAGACGCTTGGGCTCGGGTGAGTGGTAGCCACTGATTTGGTCTATCTTACTCTTACCTGCAGCTGGAAAAAAAATAAAATAAATCAAAGCGCACGCCCCTAGGCCTTTCCCCTGTTACATACATAGGTGGCTACTTGTACATGTACCATTCATACGTCGACAAGATAATTAACCAATTGAATACAAAGTATGTACGTATCGCAAATTGGAACATGCATCATACTTACGTTCGTCCGTCTGTCCGTCGACGTCGATGTCGTTGCCAATTACATGATACGTATACACGTATCCCTGATACCAAAAAGAAAGAAAAAAAGTATCGCAAAAGAAATTAATGGGGCGTCCCGCGAACCTCAGTCTCAACCTAGACCGGCGGCACTTCACCCAGCCCAAAAAAACTACGGCCAGGGGACTCCGCGTTATCTCGTTCAATCAATCAGTTCAGAGTCAAAGCTGTACATAAATGTTATCTCCGAGTCTCAGTCAGGAACGAAAGTCATCCGTGAACGTTTGAACGGTGTACCAAAAACGTAAAGTACAACTGCCCATCGACCGACGAAAAAAATACTTACCACCCACGACGGGGCATTTCACCCGGCGACGGCATCTTCAACGGTGACCCCCCGCCTTCATAACAATCACGACACAATTGAGAGCGGAGAAAAAAATGGATAAATCCACTATTGTCACCAGACAACTACACACAAAACTATCGACATGGGAAGATGAAAAACACGTCTCACAAGGAGCACCTCGACAAGATATCAAAAAAAAAACGATTAAGTGGAGATAAGGAGAAGAGGGGTTGATAGCAAAAAAATTAAAAACGTTACAAAAGATCGTTAATACCCAGTACTAAAGCATTTCCCAGCCGTTTCTTTGAATTTTTTTGCCCCCTCCCTCCCAACGCGAAGGTGAAAAAAAAAAAGCAAATCGCGAGAGATGATGAGATGTGGGTATAGGGGACTGCGAGAGATAGAGATGTGAAAGGGAATCAAAAATAAACAAGGGGGAAATCCAACGTCGATTCGCGTCCAGCGGCCAAGAAAAAGAGAGACATGTTTAATGATGTCTCTTGGCATGCAAACTCCTAGCAACCTTGGAGATACCTCTCGCAGAGCGCTTCCTGCTCGTGCGACGGCGGCACTGCTTCGTTCCATTATCAGTCGAGTTTCCGCTGTTGGAGTTGTCGCCACTGCTCTGTTGACCGCCGTTGTTGGAGCTGGAGCTGTCGCCACTGCTCTGTTGGCCATTGTTGGAGCTGTCGCCACCAGACTGTTGACCGCTGTTAGAGTTGTCGCCACCAGACTGTTGGCCGCTGTTCGAGCTGTCGCCACCGGACTGTTGACCGTTGTTAGAGTTGTCGCCGCTACTCTGTTGACCATTGTTGGAGTTGTCGCCACCGGACTGTTGACCACTGTTAGAGTTGTCGCCACCGGACTGCTGGCCACTGTTAGAGTTGTCTCCACTGCTTTGCTGGCCGTTGTTGGAGTTGTCACCACTGCTACCCTGGTTGGAAGTGCCAGAGCTCTGAGAGCTGCTGCTAGAGCCAGAAGCACCGTTCCACTTGGCAGGGCCAGGCTCATTGAAGGTAGCAGGGCTGGTGAAGACGCTGTAGTGGGCGAAATCACCGTTGGAGTCGTAGAGCCTGGGAGAATGAGAAGCAGGTGGGTTAGCATTTATTGTCGACGGGGAGGAGATAGGGGAAACGAAATGGGAACGGAGAGGAGAATTATGGGAAATAAGGTGGACGTAAAAACCCGGAACGAACAAAAGGAAGCGGGGGTAGAAAAGGAGAATGACACTTACGATCCAGCCTTGGTACCATCGGGGAGCTGAACGTCTCCACCGTTCTGAACTTCAACTTGGAGGCATCCAACGTAGTTCTGAGGACCGGTAGTAGGGTCGCCATTGTTCATGGGGTTGTGGACAGCAGAGAGCTAGTGAAGCAACAAGTCAGTTATATTGGCAAAGGCGGGAAATAGACAGGAGAAAACAAACCTCTGAACGTAAGATGTACTGTCCATTCTTCAATCCCTGGGGAACGTAAGAGCTGTATTGAGAACCGTTCTCGACTAAAGAAACCCATCAGATCTCAAGCTCAAGTAAGAGAAAAAAGAACATACTCAGTGATGCCAAGGCCCAAAGCCCGGTACTCCTATACGGCTCAGGCTTGTTAGCCATCGCATTCCTGAGTGTGTTATCAATGTCCCCGGGGTTCAATCCGTTGAAATCGATCTTCTGCCATTTAATTTGGGAAGCGTCCACCGATTTACAGTCGCCATTGCAGCTACCGATGTAAGTGATGGAGGGACCCATAGCGTGAACCCAGGTTCCTTGAGGGTAACCTTGGTCGCTCAACTCGGTAGTGGCACCTTCCCATTGCCACTTGACTTCGTCACCAGGATGGACGACAGCAACGGAAGGAGCAGCACCGGCTTCTTGACAAGCCATTTTGTTGTCATCGGCAAAGTCCTTGGGAAGGAGGTAAGAAGGGAAATCGGCCTTGTAGCCTTTTCGGATGGGGGTGTTCTGGTTGCGTGCATCGCCGTCATAGTAGAGGTTGGGAGCATCATACCATGTTCCTGCGATGGTAACACCACGAAGCTGACCGTGGGCGGAGACTAGGGTGGGAAGGATAGCAGCGAGGGAGACTAGGGGTAGAAGAGAGCGGAGCATGTTGATTTATTTGTCTAGTCGGTCGTGAATAAGGAGTGTCTGTTCCTCTACAATAAAGAATGAGAGAGAGAGGTGAATAAGAGAAGGGGAAGGGTGGGGGAGGGCGACGACGACGTTGGAGGGAAAGAAAAAGGATTTGCGGTTGCCAACAAATACTCAACCGGTTTAAAACCTAGGAATACAAATAAAGCCAAATTGAGCTCTGATACCGCCGGCGATCCGGTGTCCGAGGCCGGATGTGCCTGGTTGTTACTTGCACAGGCGAGAGCGCTGGCTGTTGAACAAGTCCGTTACTTCATTTCGAGGTACCCCTTGCCTAGCCCTGCATTCCTTTCAATGGCTGGTGGCCACTGGCCACGACGGTCCGTCACCGCAGCCAAAGCACCCTGACTCCTGAGCAACGCCCGGGGTTGTTAACAAGGTTTTCACGCTGCCCATCGCAACCAGCCCCTGGAACGCGTATCACCCTAAACTCGCGTCTTGTTCCAGGTTTCGGACTGAAGAACAAGCTCTGGCTCAGTCTCTTTGGAAATTCGCGAAAACGGGACGCTATTCTTACCTTCGCAATTTAAAATCGACCGTGGAGCCATTTTTACTCTCTCAGGTATCCTCAGGCCTTATTCGCATATTGGCATCTATCACCTTCACGTCAACATGCCCTCATTGAACTCGCATCCATCACCCATCATAGATTCTTACTGTATGTACACATCACGTACCCGCCCGTACCCGTCACATATCCAGTCTAATTATAGTTGTACTTGTTCGGTTTAATTGTGCAGGACGGCCCTAAGACTCTAACATGAAGGGACACTGGCCCATGAGTAGGTTCTACAAAGCTGCAACTCAAATCGAAAAAAAAAAAGTAATCATATCATCAGGGAATTGACCACCGCAGGGGTCGAACCTGCAATCTCCTGATTCACGAGACACACCAGTCAATCGTAGTCAGACGCGATGCCATTTCGCCAGGCGGCCATATATATTCGCAGCACAGACTCCCCTATATTCCTGAGAAAGTTGGTCTACGCGTTCGAGCCCTTCTTCCGAAACCTTCGAGAATTCGCTCGTTTTCCAGATTTCTAGTACTTGAACTGTATTCCTTCGCGGAATGACCCCCACTCTTCTTATCCTCCAACTTAGCTCAACCAATCGTCGATGCTTCGAGTCGTTTCAGATGGATTTCTCCTCACGCGAAAAAGACTCCATCCTGGTGACCACGCGGTGAGATAGAACGTTGTGGAAAACTCTAGAAATTTCAAAGAAACCAAAAAAAATCAAAGTGTCACTCGGTCGCCTTTCCCAGTCAAAAAATGTGAAATCCTTGAACCCGGCATCTCAAATTGAAGGTGCAGTAAAATTACTACTTCTTTGGATCGAGCAAGCTTCAACTTACGTCTCATACATCGAAGCTGAGCACAGAGACCTGAAGCCTAATCAAAATCCGCTTCACAGGGTGCGACGTATCCACCACTCTCATCCTCCCCCTGACTTTCCAAACCTCAGGTAACAGGGTTCTCCACGGTAAAAAGTCAAAGCAATAACCCCATAAATCAAAAACAGCTATGTACCTGAGTACTACCCCCCACTCCTCAATTTGAATTTTCTCAAACCGCGTTCCCTCGCCTCCAAAAAACTAGAGTCGGACACCTAAGAAAAGAAGCTCAGCGTACACGCTGGTTCCACTCCGGTGACTCCACAGATTTGTAGAAAATGTACAAAGAAAACCCTTTGAATGTAAATAGCCCCTCCCCCTACCCTTGATTCCGATTCCTTTTTGTTAAAAACCAATTCCAAGGACAAGGCCGGAAGTTTGGTATCACTGCGTCACAGAACAAGATCGGTTCTTCCAGCTTCCAGTATAGGAGTACCCAAGGTAACGACCAAAAGCCACTTGTAAAAAAAAAAAAAACGTCGAACAATCCACGAAGCAACAAAGGGCCGAAATATAGTGGGGCCTTCGGAGTAATCGAGCTCATCTCCACGACGACCACACAACTCCAAGGGAGCAAGGGAGCTGGGAAAAAGAGAGAAAAAAACCAACAAAACAACAAAAACGAACAACCGGGGAGTTCAACATTTTCACATGCTGATCTAAAAAAAATTCAGTTCAAAAATGATGTCAAACGATTGTTACGAATCGAACAAGGAGAAACGTCGGGTGTTTCACTGGGATTCAAGCTACACCGTTCGCACCACACCACTAGGAACATACGCACTCAAAAATTTCAAAAGGCGTGAATCATCGGGTTGGAGAAAAAAAAAAAAAAGCAAACTTGAGAATATACGTTTGAAATTTTCAGCTTTGTGGTAAGCATAGGGCCGTGGCGCGTCTACGGTCCATGTTTGAGTTTTAGGAATTTCTTCAAGACATCCGGTACAGTCACGGATTGACTTGTGATCGTCGGCGACAACGAAGCTACGATGACCGCAATGAGTATTTTGCATTTCAAGATCGGTTTTTTAGGCTTGAAGCTGCCCCGTGTTCCCGAAAAGCGGTTTCAATTTCAACGTTCCCGAAGGGCCTCTCTAATGACAAGGACAGGCGATGCATAAGATAATGATAACTTGATGGTTAGACTCGATCCAAGCTTGATGTATGATATTTCGATGAACTTGTTGATCCCTCCAACTGGCATAAACGGCTGTGGGTCGGCTGAAAAAAGTGTTCAGGTTCCCGCGCGCAAAAGAAAAAAGCTGTAAATTTACGCACCCGGTCCGACATATAATATCTAGAGCCAGATGGCATCAATTCTCCGTATCAGGCAACATGAGCGTCGAATACTTCCCTCCCTGCGTTTTTTTAAAAAAGTTCGGTGCTGCGAAGCGTCAATCGTAAAAAGTTCTGGATTTCTTTTTGTGTGCGGTCAAAGTCGTGTGCGGGATCAAATGGCTGATCAAACGTGTGGGATGAAGCTATACTGGGGTCTAATAGAGGCCAGTCCCGAACAACTGAATTGCGACCTGGAGGATTATGGGGACGAGCAACAAAAAGAGGGAGGATAGGTCATGCTGCAAAGTTCGAGCAACGACGCCGAACCTCCTGCTGGGATTCATCGAATATTCATCGTAGACGTCGAACGATGAATTATTAACGGTTAATGAAGCTTGAAGCTGAAGATGAAAAAGTCGGACAAGCGTCAAATTGTGGGAAAATTGCGGCTACACACGCGGCATATTTGACCAAAATGTTCTACCCCAAAACGGGTTAAATAAGGAGAAATACTTCTTGGGCTTTTTGGCAGCGGACGAAAACGCTCTTAGTTCGCTCATACAACGCTCAGTTCGGGCCTGGCAGCCATATGGACGTGCTGAGCCTCGAAGAGTCGACGTGCATCTCGTATTCCGGGCCGCCATCGCCCTCCAGGTTGCTCGACCCAAGATCTGGCGGATGACCTAGCAAACGACTCTGTGCCTTCACTTTCAACTTCCGTCGTCCTTCTTTGAGACCTGTACAGCCCAGAAGACTCACCAATGTCAAGTCCTCTCACTGCACTAGTTGACATCATCTCGACAGGAGTGGCCTCCATCGAGTCCACGTACAAGAATCAGGGCCTTTGCGTACCAGCACTCGACGAACCGTTCTCACCAGGACCGTTGAATCATGACAATGCTCTACAGATGACTATCAAAATCGTCGTTGCTGCTTATTTGCAACTTATTGCTACGATTAGAGCTCCTGCAGAGACCTTGGAGGATGTCGCTGCCGGAATGTACATGTCAGCAACGTTGGGAACGGTCAATGAGTTGCTAATGTGTTGAAAGACGGAGGGGGACCCGAGGCATATCCCGTGTTTTTACCATCGCTTGAGCCATCTAGGCTGACCGCATATTCAGGGAATGTCGGTTCAAGATATCAGTGGAGAGGTAGGAATTGACGGTGGACTGCTCGGTGAGTTCAAGTCTTGCAATCGAGACTGCAACCCTATAGTCACACATATTCGATTTTTAGCGAGGGTCCTTCGATTCCTGGCTACCAGACATGTGTTTAGGGAGGTCAAACCTAATGTTTTTGCCCACAATCGAATTTCTTCTCTCCTCGTAAAGGCGTCGTCTTTATCCGAGATACGAAAAAAGTACATCCACGGCTCCACTTTTTCATTATCGTACTAATGACAATTCCAGTCCAGTATCCCAGTATGATGGGTCTCCTACAGCCGCACTGGTAGGATTTTAGTACGTTCATTTCACCGGAAGAATTGCAGAAAACCATACTCAACCATCGTTCATAGTACCGACGAAGCGTTCAAGAGTAGCACCTATATCTCGGCTTACCTTTTAGGTGAGCACAAACATACCGCCACTCCATTCAATATAGCTATGGATACCAAAGCGACGATTTGGGAGTTCTACCAACAACCTGAAAACGCAACGAGGGCGCACAGAATGGGCCTTGCTATCAAAGGAATGGGCGCGCGTTTTGATCCTTCCATCTACTTCAATGGTACGTAATCGTAATCGTATTCATTGTTTCATTTCCTCTGTCCTCGACTTGAAGTGCTCAACAGCACTTGATCTTGAGAATGGCGCAGTGGTAGTTGACGTCGGAGGTGGCGTAGGGGCCGTCACTTTTGGAATTGCACAAGGCATTTCCTCACTTGCAATATATTATTCAAGACCTCGATTCGGTGACTGGTGATGCGAAAAAGGCAAGTTTGGTACGATTGCGAGTGAAACTTGAAGCTTGAAGA